GTCGAGGTCTTCGTGGACTTAGCTGGTGTCGAAAGGTGGGCTGTCGTTGCCGTGGTATCGATGCGTTGGGCCTTGAGCATCCCAGGTGAGAAGGATGGGTAAGCGTCTCTGGTGTGGTTGTCGGCATCAAGTAGGAATTCCCAGCTGCGCTGAGGGGACGCGTTGAGTATGTTAGCCCATTCAGGTTGTGGGTGCGGGTAGTCCTCGATGCGGGCGTAGTTGGCCGCGGCGTCGGCAACTTCGTTCCAAGGGTTCATCTCGTGGGCGTGAACATGACGCAGGTCGACATATTCCTTGACGTGCGAATACATGATCACCAGTAGCTGCACGAGGTGGACGTCTCGATTGGTAAAGGCCTCCATCCTGGCTAGTTGGATCGCTCCCAGCGAGTCGGAGTGGACCGAGATACTCTGGTTGATGTTCTTGTGGATGATGTAGGCAATCGCCCAGATGAGCGCTGTGATCTCGCTGGATGTCGAGGTGGTCTCGTTGTCCGTGAGGTTTTGTATCTCTACGAGGGTGGAGTCGCGGTGCTTGCCGACTATTGCGCCTTGAAAAGCGAAACCTTCTTCGTCTTCTCCGACGAGTACAACTGACCATCCGTCTTGACCATGTTGTCGTGGGTGTTTGGAGCCGTCGGTGTATAAATGCAGGCGAGAATCTCGTGAGAGCTGTCGGTATGGAAATGTTCGCACCATGTAATCTGAAACCTCGTTGTGGCAACGGTCAGTAAATTCGAAGGTAAGCCTGGGGGCCTGAAGTCGTCGAAGGTGCTGGATTAAGGGCTCCTGTTCGTCGAAGTCGATGTGGTAGAGGATGTTGTCGGTCTGCTGGTCGCGGGTGTGAACCTCGCGGGAGAAACTAACATGCCGTACTGCCTCGTGGCTGTCCGCATTCGGCAGGTTGGTCTGTCCGTGTGGGATCTGTGTAGCGTCAAGGGAGTCAGAAATAGGAGGTTGTGGCCGGCAGGAAGTTGATGTACATGGCCGGCTCGGTTGGTCACAAAATTGTCGGTCTCGATCGCCATCTTGGCCAAAATGGCTAGTACGTCGATTCCTTGTTGGTGGCTCTTGTCGTTCTTGCCACAGACGGCTGCTACCAATGGAGGTCTCCCCCCTCGTGTCGTACTCACAAAGCGATGCTTCCTCCCGAGGCGTAGGCGGTGGCGTCGTCATCGTCGGGAACGACCGTGACTGGGCTTCCGCTGGTGGAGGATGTGAGTCGACATGCTGCCGTCGAGGTCGGGTTGCCGTAGTTGGTCGGTCCGCTAGCGCATGCGGTACTCGTGTGGGATCTGTGTGAGACAGCCTTCTCGCGCTCCCCAAGCGAGAGGTAGAGGCCGAGGGGATGGTCCACGGTCCACTACTAGGCTGTAGCGTGTTGGGCGGTGTGTGGATTTCCCACATGTCGCCATGCTCGTAAGAATCTGGAGGTGCGCTCTCCCCGACGCGCATGCCGCCATTGTCTGATGAGATGGTAGGTGAAACTTGTGAAGTGTCGTATGGTGAGTCGGGGCTCACCAGGGGCTCGAATAGTCGGCGCCTGACGTCGTCGGCGTAACCACTGCAGGAGTCGGAATTGCCGTCGTTGCGCAGGCAGTCTTCTGGTGTGATGCTGGGCCGCTCCCCCTGGGCCAGTTGCCCCCCAGGGGGTGAGGGCCTCGTTAGTTTTTTGGTGAGTTGACCGCAGGGCCTTCCTCGTCGTTGAGGAAGGTTGGCACTCGGTCTCCTGGGTCTGCGAATCCGTCTCCGATGTCGCATATACGGACTTTCTTGGGCTTGGCCGCTCGTCTAGATGATCCGTTTTTTCGGAGAGCTGTGCGGGGCGGAGGAGCAGATGTGGCGCGGTCGGGCGTGGCGAGGTGGAAGCGGGGTGGTGGTTGGATTGGCTGCATCGGTGCGGTAGGAGATATGTCGGCTAGTGGAATGCGCACTGGGGTGGAAGGTGGTGGTGCTTCGTCGTCGGAAGTGATGTCAATGAGTAGAGTAGTGGATGGGTGGTTGTGCTGAGTTGAGTCTGTCCTTCTGGTGAGTGGTGGTGGCGCTGAGCTGGGTCGGTCCTTCTGCGGGTCGGGTGGGCGGAAGTCGGTGGGCGTAGGCTGCTCGGTGGGGATCGGCGTATGCGAGGCAGGGGTGGGTAATGGCGTCGGGACAGGGAAGGGATATGCGTCGCTCGCAACTGGGGTTGGGCTGCAAAGGTCGTCGTCGTCGGCGGGGATTGGGGTGTGTACGCTAGCTTCGTCGGCGTCGTGGCATGGGCGTCGCGCAGTGGGAGTGGCGGTTGGCGTAGCAGGTGTCGGTCGTGGTGGTGGTGTGTGTCTGCGCTGTCCGCTGTTGCTGGGCTGTCCTCCGCTGCTGCTGCCGCGGTTTCTGAAGTAGAGTTGATAGCCCGAGTCATCAGATGAAGACGGTGGGGTCAGCAGGTCGAGTGCCGCTTGAATCTGTTTGTCGACGTGTGCTTGCTCAGCGTCTGCTTGGGCTTGCAGTCGTGCGTCTTCCTCGTCTCGTTCTTGGAGTTGTGTGTCGAGCTCCCTGAGGATGTCCACGTCGATGCTGGTGCCGAACTCGTGAGCCTGCTGCAGTTCGCAGTGCAGTCGCTCGCGCTCCTGTCTGTGTTGCTGAAGGTGCTCCTGTAGTTGGAGTCGGTGCTGCTCCTGGAGTTCGTTCTCGAAGCGCTGCATGTCACGGGAAGAGCCTCGAAGCTTGTCGATCTCGCTGTTGTACTCGCTCTGGGCCATCATGGTGCGGTACTTCTGAGCCTGGACTTGTCCGAACTCCTCCAAAAGTAACTCCTTAGCATCCTGTAGCTGGTTCTGTTCAAGCCTCGCGATGTTGCTGATGTCCTGCTGAGCCTGAGCTTTCTCGGAGAGAAGACGCTGCTGGTGTTCGTGGCATCGTTGTTGATGTTGTTTGACCATGATCTCAGCATTCTCCTGTAGCTGGTGTCGGAAGGTCTCTTCCTCTTGCCTCCTCTGGATGATGAAAGTGGCGAGGTGAGCTGACTCCTCCTCCCTGAGCTGGTCGCGCAGGTAGGCCTCCTTCTGCTGGTAGTGAGCCATGTTCTCCGTGATGGATTCGTGAGCCTCGTGTCGGAGCCGCTCCTCGCGTTGTCGGAAGGCTTGGATCTCGTCGTAGTTCGACTGTCTCTGCTGGATTTGTGCCTGCTGAAGTTGTTCCTGGCAGTGCTGTAGGTGTTGCGAAAGCTCCTGAATCTGCTCGGCCTGCCGTTGACGCTGTGCTTCGTGTTGTTCGGATTCAGCTCGTTCATGATGGAGAAACGCCAGATGGTGTTGGTGTATCCCGTGGTTGCGCTGCTGCTCGTCCACTCTCCTCGTCAGCACGTCGATGAGGTTCCGCAGGTCGCTGCCGTCGTTGGTAGTCGGAGCAGGCGCTGGCTCAGACGCGGGTTGACGAGATGGTGGTCGTTGTCGTCTCTCGGGGTGCGGGGTCTTGCCTCTGACTCGATGGCGCCCGTCGTCTTCACCGTCCCCGTCGCAACTGTCTGCCGAAAGTTCAGCGAGTTCTCGATGCTGTTTGGCCTCGTAGATGAGTGCCTTGAGGGATGCAATTTCGTGCTTGATCTCGTCGTACTCCTCTTTGAGGTCGTGGATCTGGCTCTCGACGATCTGTTGTCTCTGGATCCGTGATTCTACTTGTGATCTGTATTGCGTAATGCGAGCCATCGGCGTGTCCATCAGGTGCAGCATGGTCTTGACTATGGCTAGCTCCTCGATGAGGCGGGTTGGGTCAACTTGCGCTTGCCTGGCTCCAAGGACTTGGTCGGCGAGACGTGCCATCCTTGCCACCTTGGTGGCGTGCCAGACCCGACGTATGTCTGGCTCGTCTGGAGGAAGGGAAAAGCTTTCGTGTCCCTTGGCATCCGAAAGCAGGGCGGGCATGACTTTGTCGGTGACCTCCAACTGTCGCTTCGTCAGCTTTGGCAAATGTCGGTAGTCGTTGGTGGTGTCCTCGGGGGGCTGGCGGCGTCGTCTCGATGGAGGTCGCTTCGTTCTCGGTGTAGTATAGTCGTTCTGATACTGCTGCTGATTCTGGTCATAGTTGTGCTGCTGTTGGTTCTCGTCGTGGTGGGAGGCGTGGTGGTGCTGGTTGTGCTGGGTCTGGTACCGTGGCTGATGCTGTCCATGCCCTCCTTGGTGTCGGCGGTGGGAAGATCCAGCTGCTGGTGTACTTGACCTCCATGGCCACGGCTTGGCACCCACTGGATGGCCGTGAGACTTCGTGTTGGTCGCCATCTCGCTGGTCTCGAAGTCCTGCAGCTCGTTCTTCTGGTTGCACTGGTGCTGCTGCGCGGAGTGGTGGCTGGCCAGGATGTCGGCCGCCCTCACGACGCGCAGGAGGGCCCGCGCCGACGCCCGGCGCTCCCTCTGCCGCCTGTGCCAGGCGGGCTCGGGCGTCGGGCCCCTCCTGGGCGCGCCGAGGCGCGCGGCAGCCGCCAGGCGGGGGGGCCAGGGCGCGGCAGCGGCGGCGGCGAATCGCCGATCCGCGGCGCGCTGAGCCCGGCCTCGCGATCGGCCTGCGAGGCGGGATCGATCGGGCGGCAGGCGCCGATCGACCCTGACCGAGCGATCGGTCGCAGGCCCAGATCGCCAGAGGCCAAATGGGCTTTCCTTCTCCTTCTCCTCCTCCTCCTCGGGGAAAAAGCCCGTCGCCAATACGGGGCGAGTCGCCAGGATCTCCCGTTTTTTCCTGCTCCGACAGACTCCCAATGAGCAGGGACCGACCGTCCCGGCATCCCTGGAGGCCTACCACGAAATGTCAATAGAACCCCGAACTGTTCTAATAACAAAATCAGTGGTCTTAGAACATAGACCCGATGTGTTAAAACAAGGCAGACTCAGCCAGAAATGCTCTGAGAACAGTCCGTGCAGACCACACTAAGGTTCTTAGCACATTTAGGCCTGTAGGCAAGCCAGGACGCTTCGCCACTGCTTGAGATCCCATGAGCCCCTCCCCCCCCCCTTCATGTTGCCCCTGGGCGGATCACCCGCCAGCCGGCGGCGGCCGCGCAGGCGGCCCGCAGAGGAAGTCCGCGGAGGGCGCGCCAGGCCCGCCGCGCCGGCAGCCCTCTTACGGCGGGGACAAAGGGCCACCTCCTCCTCCTCCTCTTCCTCCTCCTCCTCCCTCCTCCTCCTCCTCCTCCTTCCTCCTCCTCCTCCTCCCTCCCTCCTCCTCCTCCTCTCCCCTCCCCCTCCCCTCCTCCTCCTCCTCCTCCTCCTCCTCCTCCTCCTCACCTCCTCCTCCTCCTCCTCCTCCTCCCCTCCTCCTCCCCCCTCCTCCTCTCCTCTCCTCCTCCTCCTCCTCCTCACCTCCTCATCATTCGCCTCCTCCTCCTCATCCTGCTCCTCCTCCTCCTCCTCCTCCTCCTCCTCCTCCTCCTCCTCCTACTCCTCCTCCTCCTCCTCCTCCTCCTCCTCCTCCTCCTCCTCCTCCTCCTCCTCCTCCTCCTCCTGCTCCTCCTCCTTCTCCTCCGCCCGCACTCCGCCTCGCAAAGGCGGCGTGCCATGGATACTCTGAACCGCCCTCATTCGCGACGGGCTTCCCTGCCAATCTCCCCCCCTTGCCGGCGCCCCTGAATTTCCGGCGGCCCTTCAGCCCGGCCCACATCCGCTCAGAAGCCCTCCCTTGCCAGACACTTCCAGGTGCCGAACCTGAGATGCTGCTCGTGACTACCTACCAGACCACCCCAACCCAACCCGAAAACCCGAATTTCGGGTTGGGGGGGATACTGGCGTCTTATGTGTTTTCTCCATGTTCCCCGACCCCCACCCCCACTGGAAATTGAGGGCACATCGGGGCCTTCGGGTTGGGTTGGGGTGATTTAGTGGGCGGTGAGTTCGAGGCGGATCCAGCCGTGGCGACGAGAAGCCTCCAGGAGGCCCCAACAACAGCGGAACACTGCCCTCCACCATAAGCCCAAATCACCGACACCTTGATCTTTTCACAACGCAATTGCCTGGAAGTCGGGGCCTCTTCCCCGGAACCGGTTTTTCGTCCTGAGCCTTCTCTAAACGGTCCTGGAGTCCGGTAAGGGCCCCCAGAGCCAAAGAGAGCCAAAGATTGTCTAAACCGTCTGCTGTGTTTTATGTCATGTTCTGTTGTCGCCCCTGCTGCCGTTCCGGACGTTCCGGGCACCCCCGCCCTGGAACGCTCTCGGCGGGGCGCAGCTACTGGAAGGCCCCCCGGGGCAGGACAACCTTTTTGGGAATCAGCGACAATGTGTGAAAGCCTCAAACCCCTGACCCTCGCAAAGAGAGGAAGTGGCGCTCGGACGTCCATTCCCCGAGCACTGTTCGGCTTCGCGCTTATTCTTTCGCACGACGATCCTGGATGCTCTTCGATGGTCTTCGCCAAGAAAAATGCACACGTCCGAGCAATGCCAAGTCTTGGGGCACCGCCGAGGGGGGTCACCACCAGGGGGGTCGCCAAGTCCGCCAGGAGGTGGGCCCCAAAAGATGACCCAAGAGCCTTCCGAAACGTCCAAAAACCTCCTCTTCCTCCTCTTCATCCCCCTCCACCTCCTCCTCCTCCTCCTCCTCCTCCTCCTCCT